GACGGACGACGACGGACAATCACTCATATGATAAGCTCCGCTCGACAAAGTCGACAGCGGAGCTAATAAAAGCATGGTGCTAGTATATAGATGTAAATGACAACATTTAGAGATTTTGTTCTTTCACAAAAAGGACCCCAACTTGATGAGTTTCTCAGCAGTATTGGATAGTTTACAACTTACCCTTGGATCCCATACTGGCATGTTGAGTTTATTTTCACCTGGCTGTTTTAAAAGTGCTGGTCTAGGCCAATCCCTAAATGGCAAAATCATATATAATAAATAATTGAGTAGTGGTGCAAGAACAATGCATGCATGCAAGAGCAAAGTACTGGTATGAACAATACTAAAATTGAAATTATGCAATGATACTGTCCAAAACTTCCAAATACTGGTATACAAGAACAAATATTAGTCGACATATCAAATGTAAATGTCAATCCAATAAACATTAATAATAAGATTAATATTTGTTACTTACCATCTGGAAAAGACTAAAAAAAATTTATGTACAATAGTGGAGGCTGCTGCATTTGGATAAAGTTGACATGTTCTAGCTACAAGCATGGCCCATGATACACCACCCAAAAAACCAAGTACATTGGAATATATACCATGCTCTGAAAGTACATGATAATCAATACTGTTAATGAGTATATTTTAGGCATTTTCACTTCTAAAAATGGGTATATTGTAGTGATTTACTATGTAGATTTATGTAAAACATACCAGTATTGTTACAGCAGAACTAAAGTTACAAGTGGCAAAACAATTTGCCAGACAAGTGTTTACTGTACTGTCATCCCAATTAGTACATAGACCCTCACCATCATCACACACACACACACACTCCACTCCCTAAACACTTGCACGATTCTGTGGCACGCATTGGCATGACTCAAGTTGTGTCAGTGCGCAAACTAGTCATAAACGGACATGAAGTGTCGCGACAGGGTCGTGAACTATGAGCAAACTGTTCGTGAACTTGTTGGGACAATGAGAAACTATGTGTGGCAGTGCGTGGCAGTGCGTGGCAGTGCACATCATGCCCGAATAGTTTACGAACAGCTCACGTATGAATTGCACAAACTCGTCGTGCCAATGCAGGAAGTGCGTAAACTATGGGCAAACGATGCATGAACTCATCGTGCCAGTTCGTGTCAATGTGGACACTGATGGGCATGCATTTGTAAACTCGTCTTGAACAGTGCGAGAGCCTCCCAGTTCGTGCCCCAAAATGGCACGACTTACCACGACAAAATCATGAACAAAAGTCGTGCAAGTGTCAGGGTGGCTTAAGTAACAAACATGGTATTCTAAAAATAGAAAGATGGTCATGCAAGTATAATAATTCAGACACAAAATCCAACATGTCAAACATACTAATGAGCTTTACACACCTCTGGCACACTGCTTCTACACATACTAATACTTACTTTTGGCCCACACTTTAATAGCCCGGAGAGCAAGTCGAAAACTTTCTTTATTGGGAACTAAATTTAGAATTTCGTCAGTTACTCTACAACCTACAAAAAGAGTAAAGATTGTTTACAAACAAGCTGTCTTTAGTGTTCTGTTCTTAAATACAGCTGCCAATACTAAAATAGATAACAATGATTGGACTTACTACTATATAATGTCTCCAACAAGTGACAAAATAAACCAGAAAATCAATTACTGTAAATTAATCAATTACTATTTTGTAAGAAGTGTAAAATATAGGAAAAATGGTATTTTTGTTACATTTTATTTTCACCAGGGTTCTCCCCAGGTTTTTTTAGCGCTTTACTTGGGACCTCGGCGCTATGTGTTCCGACCTCAGCGCTTGATTTCATATTTAACATGCCAATATCAGATGTGCAAAAGTTTTGTTCGCCACGCTCGTCAGTCCCGACCGTCACTCAAATTTAGTGACCACAACGGAAACGCTTCCGACCAGGACTTTTGTCCGATTGTTATTATTATTACGTACTGACCAACACGCATCCTGCCAGTCACGGATTATAATTTGTAAACAATAGACCTAGTCGCACGATACGTAGTGGCTCGTCAAATTTGTGAAATTAGCACCTCTTTGATTGTAAGTAAATACTTTCTGCGATAGGCACAGTCTTTAGATTGAAAGCTAAAATTCTTTCAAAATCGATATAAAAAGGTCAAAGCGGAGTTCACAATCAGTTTACGCTACTCAAGAAAAAAATGTGTTTATTGCGTGATTTGGTAAAATACATTTGAACTGTTATTTTACCTTTTAAAAATTGCTAATCACCTCTTTCGAAAACCATCATGCAGTTTTCAATTGAAATCAATGCCAACACATCGTGCTACGACATCGCTTAACTTCTGCAATGTAATTTTTATGATCACTACCATTCGGAAAACTTCGGATTCTACCGGCATTACCATGCGGTATTTTGATTGGTTAATGGCATTCTTGACCTATCAGATCAAAGGACACATGCTAATGTTTCACAAAAATCATGGCGGGGCTGATTTTTTTTTACCAAAGCGATCGAGTGATCAAAAATAATCGCTCCCAATAAAAATAAGTCGAATTTTACTTTAAAATCAAAAAAAAAAAAAGAAGTACTGTAAAATCTGTATTAGAAACCGCGGCTTCTATTAAAATGGTACAAAGCAACAGAGGGGATGCGGCTTCTATTAGAGCATCTACACATATGAGAAATGGTAAATTTTAGATTCTCAATTATTCAAAAAGAATGGGTGCGACTTATATTAGGGATGCGGCTTCTAATACAGATTTTACGGTAACATTTATTGAAGAATTATTGGTATAACCGGTGTATAACATCGGCAAGTAAGTTATGTCACGTTGTATCTTTGACGATCGTTTTGAAGTTTTATTTGTTCGCTCATTACTGTAAATGTAAACGTTTTAGAAGTTGATGGTACGAATAATAAATTACAACAATACGCCAATTAATTACGTGGTCGACTTTTTGAAGGTGAATGTTTTTGGAGTAAATAAAATCATGAAATTCGTGAACATATTTCTGGCTTAACGTTTCGAATGCGTTTTATTCAACATTTTACAATAGACAATTAATTTGTAACAATAATTTATTTGTGTTTGTTTTTAGTCTGCAGCATCTGTATTTCGAGAATGTTTCAAACTCTTCTAAATTGTGAAACATAATGTGTTGATTCCATTAAAAAAAATATTTGCATTGTGACTGAGCTCATTAATATTCATGATTGTAAATGAGTTCAGTTAATTAATGAAAAGTGCAAATTAGTTGCAGCGCTATGCATTTTTTCTGGGGAGAACCTTGTTCACTCTTTCAGGAAAAATAAATTTAGAGTAAAAATAGAGTAATTTATATATAGTATAAACTTGCAATGACAACTAAAGAAAACTACTTTTATTTTGCAAGACAAAGGTTTGCAGATTTCGTGAATCAGAGAAAACAAAGTGAGCCACAGTGACTTATATGACAAATGTCATATCTTTCAGAA